TCGCGTTAAATCCAATCCTGTTCGCTAGCGTGACCTCTCCTACTGCCTTCCGACTGGTTTTCTTTACCACCTTCGCTTGGAATCTGCATAGCATCTGTCTCTTATACACATCTAGATGTGTATAAGAGACAGGCCCCCTTTACCCCACCCCCATCCCCAGAAGTTTCTCAGCGGATTTTAGCTATACTGAGCAAGTGGAGTACAGCCCTGAACTCAGATTTTTTCAAAAATAAGCAGATGGCCCTCTACAGATGGTTGGCAGACCGCCTACCGGTCAGCCCTACTGGTAGGCTGGAAAACAGTCGGTGGTTGGCATCGGCGGTAGGTGGGTATCCAACCCTGGTGTTGGGCCTGAAATTTTAGTCCCATGCAAGATTCCCTTTTCAATGCAGCTGCTACAACTGGAGCATAGTGCCCGACAACATATAGGAACAAGTAGGCAAAAGGAGAGGAAGTCAAAACTAAATGAAGTTGAAGTTGTTAAACAGGACATCCTCATCTATGGTCAGTTTGACTTAGCTAGAGCTGAGAGGCTACCTGGTAGGAGGGACGTTTTCAATGTACAAGTCTACAAGAAGAAAAGCTTCCCTGTGAACAAATGGCCGCAGCTCCAGCAACAGCTAGTACAGATGACCGTCATGTTCTTGTAACCCTTGAAACTCTATCACTTCATCCCAAACTTCCTCCTATCATGATAACCAAGCGACCAGATCCCCGTGCGTCTCACCTCAGAAATAGCTGTGCATGTAACTTCCATTCTTTGCAGACCGGAAAGAGATCTCACAATCTAAGCGGCTTTCATATCTGAGCAATCTCTGCAGGTTTCAGTGTGACATCGGCAGGCAGACAATCATGTCATCGACCGGTGTCTACTGACATGACCATCTCACCAACATACACCACAAAGAAAAAGCAAGCATGAAGTGCACTGATGAGATGAGCAAACCAATGGTTACTCACACAATGTTCCACACACCAACGAGGAAAAGGGAGCACAAAGGGAACTGGCAATACGAGTGAAACACTGGCTATAATTATATCAAAAATGTTTTATGTTCGATTACCTTCACTACACAGGAAAGAATGAGGCAAGAGATGGCAAGCACAATTGGAGGCGCTGCGGTTGACGTTTGAGCTATTGTGAGAGCATCGACTGCCTTCTTGAATAGCAACGGGCCAGCTAATCCTGCAATCTGGTAATCCAACATCATCACAAACACAAACACAAACACAAACACAAACACAAACACAAACACAAACACAGACACAAACTCAGATGAGAGTCTTTATTCCATGCATAATTTTGCCTTGCTATGGTGATGATCGAGGCCATAGTTACATTCATGGTCATGGCTATAGCCCGTGTTACGTTTATGAACTGGTGATACACGTACACGTCTCATGCAAATATATAGCATTTCTAGCACACAGCCAGCAACAAGAAGTTTTCAACAGAGACTAGACTAGCGTAGTGAGAAAACTTATCATGTGTAGTTATCGACAGAGATAAGACTAACGTAGTGAGGGAACTTGTTGTGTGCAGCCAACCTCAGATAGCAGAGCTCTGTCCCATTTAGCAGTATCTCGCATTCTCCTCTTCCTCTCTCCACCCGCTTAGTCTAGGCCTGTTCACTTTGGCAGATGATGGCATCATCATGACCAGGGGGACAGCAGAAAAAATGTGTTAGAAGAATTGAGGGAGAAATTCTGCCTGCTAAGTGCTATCTGATAAGTGAGTTAATGGTGGCCCTGGTGGGCCTAAAACCCAAGCACGGTGGTTTCGCAACCACAGAACCACGACTTTGGAACAACCGAATATTAACTAGGTAGGAAACACACCTGTGGAACAACCACACATTAAGTAGGAAGACCTGAACAACCCTGTTCGAGTGTTGAGCATCTCACTAACAGCCTATGGCAAGCCGCCCCTATTTGAGTGGTGGGCATCTCACTCACTGTCTATGGCAAGCCAGACAACCATAGTGGGACACTAAAAAAAATGTTTGATTTTATGACCTTTGCCCTAACATGCTTTATGTATACCACTGCAATCCCCATTCACCATCCAGAATAGTGTTTGCTTACACTCTTTGTCAGGCTACGCTAGCTTAGTACCTCTTTGTTTTGAGTAGATCATGCTAAATATACTTTAGCCGAGTCTAATCTCACTTAGCTAACCTCCTATGCTGACATAGAAACGCATGCAGCATGCTTGAGTTTCACTGAGCCTGACTCAGCCTAGCTCGACCCCAACTTACCTTACCAAGGAAAAGCAGTGCAAGGGCCATAAATAGTCGCCAGCGAAGATTAGAATGACTGGACGCCAGCTTCCATAAGTATGGCATTACCTGAGGTTAAAATTGAGATAAGATCCCAAACAAAAGCGAGCCAGATTCACCACAGTCAAAAACTGTTTCCCATCACTCGGAGAAATACGGCAACACATAACCTTGACAGGGAAAGACTGCAGGACAATATCTCTTCCCCATGCTGGACCATTTCGTAAATGGCACATCATGGAAATCCATTCTGTATTGTTCCGAGCTCCACGAATGGTGCACTTGCTAACAGACTCTCTTCGTTTTGTCGTTTTTTTTTTAACCGGGACCTTATGGTTCTGGCTCCTTATCCATTCTGGGGAGCATCAGTCCGGTTCCTATTCCACCGGCAAGTCAGAAAGGATTACATTGTTTACTCACTCATGCTCCTCCCCCTTGTCGTGTGGAGGTCCGAAGGACGGAATTGATTACTTCCCTTGAGAAGGATGTACCGTCCTTCACCCCTGCCTAAGTTAGCCTATTCTGCTGGGTTTCTGGTAATGACCTGTATTTGGCGCTAAAACCCTAAGCCCTAGCTTGAGATTTCTTTGTCTGAAGTCTGACTCTAATGATCGTTTCCGTGTGAAGGTCTGATGCAGGACTGAGTTCTAGGTATGCTTGGTGAGGGGTCTGTCTGGAATCAGTGAGGGTATTCTTGGTAGGGCTGGTGTTGAGATTGGGGGGGAGGCTGGATTGAGGGGTTTTGGATAAGCTTGATGTACTGGTTAGTGTAAGGAGGATGTGGGGGGGGGAAGGTGGGGTGGTAGGGGGTAAAGGTGGTATGGAGACTGTTGTTTGGGGTTAGGGGGGGGAGGTGGTAGGTGTGGGGATATTGGGGGGGCAGGGGTCTTTACTGGTTCCGTAGTGGATTGGTGGAGGGTGGCTGGTTTGGGGGTAGTTGTATGTGGGTTAGGGGAGTTATTGAGGCGCTTTGTGTCTGTGTTATGGTTAGCCCACTTTTTAGAGTTATTGTTGATGGTGCCTAGTATCCCATTACCTAGCTTGGAGGTGAGAATTTTTTTATTATTTCGTTTTTCTTTTGTCGGGGTCAGTAGGGAGCTTGTTAACAATGTTAAGTTGTTTTTTCCAGAGGCCATGGACTTCGGTGTGGGTTCTCTGGGGCAGTGAGTCAATCACTGAAGGTGCAGTCACATCTGTTTTTCCAAAAATAGCCCATAGGGTGCTTTTCTTGATTTGTGAGGACAGAAGGCTTCGAGGCCTTTGAGCGGGGGTGATTGTTTGAGGTCGAGGAATAGTGTGGCGGGGTTGATTAGAAGGGGAGAGTCTGAGATTTTATACCATGATGTTTCTAGAGTTTGCCAGAGGGATCTGACCTTTGGGCAGTCCATAAAACAATGGTTCAGGGATTCAGGAGTAAGGAGGTTGTATACCTTGCACCATGAATCGTGTTCCGTTCTGTTTTCATGATTGTGTCTGGCCAACCATTGGTTTACTGGAGCTTCTCTGAAGGCTATGAACCATCTCAGGCTGCCCAGTTTGACCGGTCTTGTGGAGAAGACTGTAGCCCAAGTTAGCTTGAAGTGGATGTTGGCTAGTTGTGGTTCCTCCTTTGTCCACCTATTGCGCATTGTGTTGGAAATTGATATAGGCTTGATGAAGAGTCGATAGCCTAGTTTAGGTGTGTAGTCAGTTAACCTACTTGGGTTTAAGATGAGGGAGGAACCAACCGAGGAGTTCCATGTCCATTCCGTTGGGTCAATCTCCAGGTTATAAACACTACTGTGGGGTTTGTATACTCTTTTTCTTTCTCCTTCTATGATTTTGACCCTTCTCAGGTTGTTGTTTTTGAATGCTCCTTCTGCTCTGCTTTTTGTATCGATGTAACTTACCGGGTTTCCTGGTTTCCTGGTTCCTCTAAGGTGTATATGTCGCAGCATATCCAGTTATTGTTGTGAGGTTCGTAATTCTTGAATGAGAGGACTTCCTGGATTGGTGGGAAGTCCGTGGTGGTGGCCCAATCGCCGTAGTGCCATTTTTGGTCTGAGTTGAGTGAGACTCGCCATTGTAGAGGAATGCAGTCTACGATGTGGCTTAGGTTAGTTTGTAGATTATGTATTCCTTTTATTTTTTCTCGTGGGTCCCTTTCTGTTTTCCACGTTTTCTTTGGGTCATTCCAGATGTGCTTGATTAGTCATATTCCATTTTTTAGCCAATGCCCCCATTTGGGTTCTGACTTGGCGAGTGGGAGGCTTTTCCCTTTGTCGTTCTTGATCAGTGGGTTGCCAAAGAGGGGTTGTCTGAGAACTTCGTCTTTTTTCTTTGGACACTGGACAGGTTCTATTTTCGGGGAAGATGATTATCCAGGTGTGTGACGCCCAACCTCACGCCCAGCGCGACTTCCTGTTCGAAGTGGGATGGGGGCCCGGAAGTGCGGAAAGGGGGTGCGCCAAGGATTTTAGGAAAGTGGGGATGGAGTTCCAGGTCGGAACTGGAATCTCCTGCGTCGAGTTTCAGGGGTAGGAGTGCAAGTGTCTTCTGGCTCAGAGTTGGGGCGATGATCGATCGTGCGGCCTGGGTCGGGGCGGGGTGCTACGGGAGTGCTCGTACCGCTGCCGGCCGTTGCAAGTCTCGGGGTCCGATGAAGACGAGTTGGGTTCTCGTTGCTCTGTCCGGGGGTGGGCTCGTTGCGGGACCCTCGCCTGTCGATGCTCGCCAGGCTGTCGACACTCCGAGCACGGCGGACGGGGCCAGAAACGGGCTATGTAATCCCAAGGGACCACGAGTAACCGGTGGTAAGGGAGGACGGTATAATAGGGAGGGAAGTCAGTGGTGATGGCAACGAAGCCTGGAGTTAGAAGATATTGCTGGTTTTGGCTGTCGTGATGGTCGGGAATCCGTGGGTCTTGGTTGATTGCCAGATGGAAGTCGCCTCTGCACAATCGCTCGTTTTCAGTCTGACAGGGGTACTCAAGGTGCCCAGAGTTCCGTAGGTGGCAATGTTGTCGGATCCGCTGCCGGCGGATCTGTTCCCTCTCCCAATACGCTCGGTATTCTAAGTCACGCTCGTCAGATCGCACTTACACGCGGACTCGCGGGGTTGGTCCGCTGTGGATCGATCTATCAGCCAATCACCTATGCAAAAGAAGGTTCGTGTAATCATGCAATAATCTCTCAGTCATTTTTTTTGAGCAAAAAGAAGTTGCGTGGCCATCAGGCGGAAAATCCCCCCCCTTCCCGGATACGCAACACAACTCCCTTTTGATTCACAAATTGACATGGCCTGTGGATATCTCATCGCCATTCAGACATACATCGACGCACCGCAACAGCATCAAACTTATTTCATCTGCCAATCATCTAGATCGGCGCTGCAAGCACTGGATAATCCCAGGGGTATTGCGTCAAACATGGGATATTCAAGCATTACCAGATCATCAAGTCCATCCCATGGGGCGAGTACAAGACAGGAAGGACAGACATTAAACCCATTCATCACATGATAGCAAGCCGCCGAAGTGCAAAACACGGGCGCCTCGCCCGAAGCCAAAATTTTATATACAAGACTTGAGAAAAAACAAGAAAAGATTACAGTCCCACACCCATATCTCTCTGCTCTTTCTTCCTTCCCGATGCGGACAGTCCGTCGTCTCGCACCCACCAGATGCGCCCGTCAGGTTCGCCCGTGCGCCACAGTCCGTCATGGACTACACGTCAACCCCGCGCACTTGGCACCAGCTCGTTGGGTCGCCCAACTCCCACAACAACTCGCCTCTTACTTTGCTCATTAGCCGACCCTCACTGATCGCGCTAACCTCGAGCTTCCAAAAATTTTAGGAGATATCTAATCGCGACGACGAGATTTATAGCATGCATGTGTGCGCGAAGAGTGCGAGATTGCAGGGATTGGAAAGCGGAGAAAGGGAGGCAGTGCCTGCAGTCTGCATGGCCATACCACGGTGTGGGGGACGTAGCCACACTCCACGCATCGATCTGATCATGCAGCGCGCCGCCCAATCAGACGTAGCAAGGAAAAAGAAGAAGGCGGGAAGAAGGCGAAAGAAGAAAGATACAGTTACAATGGCGCCCGCCCAAAAATTACAGTTGCATGCAAGATTAAGGCGCCGTCGAGCCAGAACTTCGTTCCCGACGCAGGAAGATGCGCGCAAGAAAGAGGCGTCGAGCGGCAAGAAATTCAAAAAGTCCTAAATTCCTATCTGAACTTCAAAATTGTAACAGAGAAATTCCGACGAGACGGAAGAAAAACAAAAAGAAATCAAAATTCCGAGAGCCCTCGGGGGCTCGTCATTAGTTGAAAGGAAAATTTAAAAAGAAAACTGGAAGGCTCCCGCGCGATCATCGCGCCAAAAATCTCAGTTCTCCCTTTTACTCTCAGCAGGGCAAGAACAAAGCATCGCCAACCGTTATTGATCGCGCCCAACGCGGCGCGCACACTCAATCATCTGCCCCGGGCTTGTCCCATCACCGCCGAAGGGGAAGAAGCGAAGCGAAGGAAAAGAAGGAAGCGAGGAACACCGACGCAATTTACCCGTCGATCCCACTCCCCGTAATTTGCCCAATCCTCCCATCTCAGGACCCCTCATTGTCATCGCGCAGAAAGTCGCGCGGGACAGAGAGTGGTTCGTCACAGGTTTGCAGTATGCTCCCAGAGGGATTTAGGCTGGGGGCTGTCATTGTTGTTCGTTGGAGCGTTTGGTCGGATTGACTTTGTTTCCCTTTTGAAAGTGGCCAGAATTTGTTGAAAATCCAGAAGAAGGACTCTAAGGAGGAATGGGACTAGGATGTGCCAGCATGCAATCCAAAATTCCTTAGACAGGGAATCTATACCTGGGGCTTTATTGGGTTTGAGGTCGATAAGGGCTTTGTGTAGTTCTTCTAATGATATGGGTTCTTCTAGAGTTTTGGCTGTTTCTGTTGAGAGGGATTGGTCTAGGTGGGTTAAGAATTTCTCTCTTGCTCTGTTCGGTGTATTGTTACCGCCTATTGGGGTTTTGGAGGTGTAAAGCTCTTTGTAAAAGGTAGTTGCTATGTTGACTAGTTTTGTGGTTTTTGTGGTTGGGTTGCCGTTCTCGTCGTGTAACAGACTCTCTTCGTAATGCATGTATATCTTTGAACAATTGTCATGAAATGTATTTACAAGAAGACATGCATTCATTGGGACAAGGATGGCCACACTACATAATCCAGCCCCTCTTCCATTTGCAGGACTCATCCTGCAAGTGGCGAATAACAGCACAGATCAGCAGAATAGAAAGCAGCTAAATTGGCAGCAGACCACAGTAAACGGTGCATACAGTACCACAGGCCACCAAAGCAAAGCATACCATGACAGACCGTCAGACAGTGCAGAATCAGACACTTCGCCATGCCTGTTGGATGATGGACATGCAACACTAACAAGGGGATTGACCCAGAGTATTTCTTGTTTTCTTTCCTATTTGTCCTGGTCTTGAATATGGTTACGGATTTCGAGATAACCCTCGGCCAAAAGATACGTTTGTACAGCAAGGCTCACAAGATTTATTTGTCCAGATTTGGAAAAAAAAAGGTCGAAGATTTCGACGAAAAATAAAAAAGCCGGGCATACAGATGTCCATAGCTAGACAGAAGGATCCAGATGCCCATCCAAGCGTCTGGATCGCAACCATCCAAGAGATCGATTGTTGTATGCAAGTCACAGGATGTGATAAAAAGTTGCAAGGCGGAGTACACATCGGAGATTCGGATGCTTCAAGTTCAGTGACTTTCGCTTGCAGAAAGAAAGCAGTGCAATTGCCAACACGGTAACCGGAATGCAACTTTACAAACAAATGCACAAGTTTAAACCCTGTCAAATGGAAACACACAAGACCCGACTGGACTGAAGGACACACCAAGAAAAGTAGTGGCAAGAGGAATGGAAGCGATGAGATGCTGAGACAAGGAGAGTCACACCTACACTGAAGATGGAGGCATCTGTGGGTGCTGGTGGAATGGGTGGAAGAGCCGTTGGTGCCGCAAGCTTTGATGGCATCAGGCTCTGTGTCCTATAGCTGGCCCAGTCGCCCTCATCACGATCCCAAACGCCCCCAATCCCTGTCCCAGCATCACGTGCCTGGGCATCCTTTGAGTGCTGCTCTGGCTCCGGTGTTGCCAAGCTTGCGCCCTGGTTTGGTCCCAGGCCGGTGCTGGAGCTGCACCTTGGGCACAAACTTCTATGTCTCCGTAACCTTGCCCTTCCTTGCCTGCCTTGTTTCTCACTAAGCAACCGGTAACTCCACGAGGTTTCTGAGGCAGAAACCCTGCCAGAAAGGATGGTATCTGTTTCTGAAGACTTTTCTGCTGCAGAGACTGAGATGCCCCCCAAGCTATATAAGCCGAGTGTCATTCGCCCCCAGTACCACATCGTTTCACGGCTCCCCACCTCTCGAATCTCTTTGCCAACCCCTCCAACTCTGCCCACTCCACGCCACCTCTTCAATCCCCACGGCTTAGCTGGTACAGACGACCACTCATTGATGTACACCCTCCCCTGCCCTGGGTGACATGAGGATGCATAGGTGAACTGTCGTGGATAGGGCAGGCAAGTCCTGCTCGATGACAGTGACAGCAACAAGTGATTGCTGAGCCTTTCTCCAGATCTGGGATCATCAATGGAATTTCTTCTCTTAGTACTACTCTTCGTCACCACCATCCTACCACCCATACTCATATGGCATCGTCGACTTCGATTGCATTTGTCAGCAAGGAGATCGTCATCATCTCTCTCCCCTCTCCTTCCCCTTGTCCTAGGGTTGCAGAAGAGACGGGAGGTAGATTGGACGGATGAGCAAGTGCAACTCCCAGGAATTGATGACTGCCATGTCTCCAAATGAAGACCAACCCCGCGCAGAGCCATTCTTGATACTTGAGCGGAACAGTGGGAGCTGACACCTTCGATGAGCTGTGATTCACTGCCACAAAATACTCCCCAAGGTGAACCAGATGCCATGGTACAACAATGTGTATCGCATGGGAATGCAAATACCATTCAAGTGAACAAACAAGGGCAAACAGCGCCAGCTGAGAACCTGTCAAAACAAAGGTGCAGTCCATGGGAATTACACCAATGGCAAGAAAAATTTCTGAGTTTGTCCGCAAAGTTTCATGCATGAACACCAGCAACAAGGGCATAAGATAAGATAGTAAAACGCACTCACCTGTAGTGTCCAGCCAAGAGAATGTGAAGCTGCAAACATAAACCAATCCATCCCTTAAGAAAGGCCACCCATGCTATTATCTGCACCACTGATTAAATTGTACACTGCATCAGTTGCAAACATACAGTTCATTGCAGACACAGTCCGGGAAACAAAAGAGTAATCTCCCAATACAGGTCCAATCCTAGTACCTCAGTGCACAAAACCCATATGCCCCACCCAGCCCCCCTTAAAATAACTCATACAATTTTTTTTGGGCCGGGAGGATCTTGTAATAATGGCCGCGGAAAATCGGCTTGCTCCACAGAGATGAAAGGGGCAAGCTTTGATGCGTTGAACACCAGAGGTACGCAGAGGCATGGTGGCGAAGGTGCGTCCGGTTGTTCAGCCTCTGCAGACAAATCCTCCAAGGTCCAAACCACTCAGGGAGGAGATTACCCAAGATATCTTGTTCCAAACAGAACTCCTCAGCTGACACCCAAACAAGGTCATTTTCCCAGAAGGGGGATGGTAGGCTGGCTTGCTGTCACATGCGCCACTGTGCTTTCTGCATGTTGTCCCAGGCCCGAAGACGAGGCCGTGCATCCTGCAAATGAAGGTGCCGGGGGCATCAGAGGTAGCGATACGTTGAACAAGTGCATCCACTGGAACATCAGCTGGCTCGCTTCGGTAAAGTTTGAAAGGGGACAGCTCGATGTCCGGAAGGCGCTCAACCCAATCCTTCTGATCCAGGCAATCGAGTGTAGTAGCATGACTTATGTCATCTGGAGAGATGGTTAATGGAAGGCCAAAAATTTGGGTTTTTTTGCCACATCACCACAAGCAATGTCGTTGACGAACAACCTTTTCGTTACTGGTCAAAATACGTCGAAACTGAATACAGATATACCCTAAAGCACGTAGATATCATACCCAGGAAAAAAAACAAGAAAAAAAGCAAACGTTCAAGGAAATATGGCAGTTTCGACGTTTTGGTGAAAATTTTGCCGAAAATGACACCACCTATTAACCATTAGTGGCTCTCTCCGTTTGTCCATTACCGGCAGACGGTGAGCCGAAGTTGGCTTGAGGGAAGCCCTGATGCAGTTCAATACCAACGAGCAGAAGCTGGACATGAAACTGACGTCGCAATCGCAAACGGTCTCCCTAGGGAAACCCTTGGAACACATTCTGCCAGCTCGGGAGTTTTGGCGTGCTACCAACAACAAAAAAACCTGGCTGCCTTGGTGAGGTGATCTGCAATGGAAAGATGTCGTCATATGGTGCGGAAAAGGCCCGATGATATCCATGCCAATGGAAGAACGGCACCCCCATGGCAATGGAAGAACGGCACTGAAGTGGGAGCGCGAGAGGTCGCAACAGGCAAAAAGAGTGGTTGTTGCGCAGCTTGCAACACCTGCAAACCCCTCATGAGTCACAATACCAAGACACATCAACCACTAAATCGGCCAAATAGAAGTGCTGGCGGAGTCGTCCAACCGTACGTTGGACGTCAATATGGCTGGCAATCGGTGTGTCATGACACTGCCAAGTAGGCAAATTCGCAATCGGCAGTCGTTGGGTATACACAAAGAAAGTCCTCACCCTGCAAATGGAGAAGGAGAAACTCATCTTGACTACAGTAGTGGGATGCTTGCGGATCCGGCGATGAGACCTTCTCGTGGATGTCGCAAAAATTAGGGATGAACTGGTACCCACGTACAGCTCCTCGACGGCAAATGTGTGGTCTGAACATAAAAAAAACATCCATAAAACGGTTCGACTTCCAGTTGATGTGATCAATGGTGAAGCAAAACTGGTCCATATACGGGCAATGGTGCACTTGACTGTGCCTTAGTCTTGTAAAACACCAACAGATTGTTATCCACGACCCACTTGAACTGCTGAAATCCAAGAAGGAAGTGCCTCTACCGCTTGAGTGCGTCAACAAAGGCCAAAAACTACTTCCACATGTCCTCGATGGATGGGAGGCACCTTCTTGCTAAAGTACTCCTCGGGGTGCCAGTCTGTACCATCGCAATGATCAAGAAGGGCACCATGCCGTAGTCGGATGCAATAGTTGTGACTGGCGTATGCAAGGTGTTGTTATAAACACCCAAGACTAGGCCAACCAGCAATGCGGACTTAAGTGCCCCAAAAGAGGAATACCATGATTACAATCCGGACGTCCAGACCGCAGTGCAGACGGTCTGGGTCTGGATGTCATGGTCCAGTGTCCCCCCACCCCCACCGCCAAAAGAAATCCGACTCTAAGAAAATTTTTTAAAAAAACTGAAAAAAAAGATACGTTGTGCAGCATTGCAATACAAAAATCTTTTGGCTAAAGACCATCTCGAAATTCATAGCCAAAAAAAAAAAAAAAAAAAAAAAACGTTTTTTATAAATAAAAAAGGGGGGGGGGGGGGGGGGGGGGTGTTCAATGCGGACGGCCTGGAGCAGTCCAGACACAGGTCCGGATGGACGTCTGGACTGGTCCGGTGTCCAGGTCCGGCGTAACCATGATGAATACGCCGCATTGTAGAAACAGAACAGTTGGTCCTTGTGTAGTTGTTGCAATGGCCACGAGATCTTGGCATACCCATTGATGTAACACACGATATCTTGCGAGTTCGAGAAATGACCGAATGTCCATGACGTTTGCAGGCCCAGGCCACTCTTGGACGGCCTGAATCTTGTCCTATAGCGGACTGACGTCTTGTAGCCAATGAAATGACTTGCTGCACAAACTCGCACTTGTCACGATTTGCCTCATACTTGGCCCCACAAAGAGTCTCCAAAACATGACAGAAGTGCTCCAAATGGTCGTCCAAAGTCTGGCTGCAAACTAAGATGCTGTCGAGATATACAAGTACGAAACGGTCTAACATGGCACGGAATTCGGTCGTCATGGCCGCTTGGAAAGTCGTCGGGGCATTGATGTGGCCAAATGGCATAACCACCCACTCGAATTGCCCATACCACGTCTCAAATGCGGATTTGTATCGATCTTGTGAGAGGATAGAAATTTGATGGTAACCTACACTACCAGAGTGGCCCGGGACCACTTGCCCGGCCGGGCCAAAAATAAATAAATAATTTATTTATTTTTTTTTATTTTTTTTTTTTTGGTAATGAATTTCGATGTGACCCTGAGGCAAAAGTTGTTCAGTTTTTTTTCTGCGTAGCGTAGTTTTTTTCGGATCTTTTGGATTTTTCATTTTTCTTTTGCTGGGACCTTCCCTGGTCCTTGCACGGCCGAGCCGCCCGGGAAAACAGGGTGACCCGGGCGGCCCGGCTGGTGGCCTAGATGGTAACCCAATTTCAAGTCTAACCCGGAAAGACTTTCACACCGCCCATACGCTCCAGAAGAGCATCAATCTGCCAGAGAGGACCTACATTCTTGACCGTTTGGGCATTTAGCTTACAGTAATCAATGCACACCTGCAGCCCCGTGTTCTTCTCCGTACAAAGAGAACAAGTGCTCCGTATGGTGATCTGCTAAAGGTTAATTGTTACCGTACGAACACATGCTGTTGCATGACTACAATATACTGCTGATGATGTTGAGACTTGTTCGTTTTGTTTGTGAAGAAGCAGCATCCTGCAATGACTTCTGCATGTTGCGAGCCGCCACATCCATGTGACCGATTGTAGATGCCTCGTTGAAAAGTTACGCTGCTGTCTTGAGTAGCTTTGAATGATGCATCCGATTGTAGATGACTCGTTGAAAAGTTATGCTACTGTCGGGAGCAGCTTTGAATGATGCATGACAGCTAGTTAATGTTCATTACATGACCGCTCGATAAAGAAACGCTTGATCAGCGGAAAGCCGGTGGTACATTTTGTGTGGATGTAAGCTGCTGAAACTCGGTGATCCAATCTAGAGAAGGCAAATTGTTCTGGTAGTTGGCGGTAAGTTCGGCCCATGACATCTTTGTACACAATCAAGTTGTTCGACCAACTTTTACAGGCGCGAGAAAATCACTGGCGAAGCATCAAAATCGCTGAGTGTCTGGGACCAGTTGCATGTCAAGAACCTGTACGAACTTGGTCCATCACTGTTCCAGATTGGTCGTCTTGGCACTGGGAAAGGCTTCGTCGTTATCCAACTAAGGGAGTCCGAGTGTGGCTGCACCTGCAGACTGCAGTGCTGCTGCTGGCTGCTGCAGAAATTGGAATCTACTGAGCTCATCTGGTAAACCGCCCAGCCTCGTCTCCAATGCATCAACCCAATATGACATCTCGGAAGAGCCCGCATGCGCAACGGTAGCTTGCTTGGCCGTATCTTCCACTTCTGCCAAGCGTGTGCACAGATCCTTGGACATGTCGGTAAATTCACCGTTCACAGCCTGTCGACATGTCGCAATCACCTATGGAGCTGCTTGTTGTGGCGCTCCAGCTGCATTGGCGGTGGCTTGCTGTCATGCAGTAAGATCTGCAACCTCCTGACACAGTGCTGTGACAGGCTGACAGCATCATGCTGCAGCTGCAGCTCATCCTGCTGCAGTGAGAAGGTGGTGACTCGATCTGCAATATACTGCAGCAGGGTAACATGGTGTTCATCTCCTTCCCCGGACGCTTCCCAAAATGCAATAAAGAGCCTGCGGGCCGCCTAATCTTTCCATGCCCTGTCCATTCCTGCATAGGCCCAGTGGAGCCTGTGTCATGGAGACAAACTATAAAATCCAAATAAATTAAAACAAGATGGACAAATGCCATGCTTAACACAAGCCCAAATGCATGAAGGGGATTTGCCTTGCGACCACACTATGGTGCAGGGTACTGCATACCCAGTGACCTACTTGTCTCTGCCCCTCCAATTCAGCAAGTTCAATGTGATTTTCAATGCCCGCTAAATACATTTGATGTTTTGCAGAGTCAAT